CAGGTGCCCATTCTCCATCTCCAGGCTGGTGACCTGCTGGCGCAGGGACAGGAGGTCCCCAGCCATCCGCTGCATCGCCAGGCGATAGCCACTCACCTCCTGCCAGCCCAGAGCAGAGCTTCTGGCACCCCGCTGCCAGCCGGGGCTTTCGCCAGCACCAGGAGCTCAGCTGAGGATATTTGTCTTGAGGGTCAGACCTATCATGGAGGAGCTAAGAAACATGCATTTTTTTCCCTTCCTCTTGCAACTATCTACCCTTCTCTTTCCCATCCAGCCACATACTCATCCTTCTCTTCACCATCCATCCATCCATCCATCCCTCCCTCCCTCCATCCATCCATCTATCCATCTCCACCTATGCATTCTTCTCTTCCCCAACCATCCAACCTTCTCTCCTGTCTATCCACACCTTCTCCTCTCCACCCACCCACCTCTCCTTCTGCCTCATTTTCCCAACTCTTCCCCTCCCCCTCTTAGGGGAAAAGCAACTCTCCGTGGGGTGGAGCAGTGTTGGAGTTGTGGGTCAACCTCAGCATCTGAGCTTTTATGGGACTTTGCAGGAAGAATGGAAGGATGAATGTTTTATACAGAGGAGTAGGGGGGCATTTTTTAGCACCTGGGGTAGCTGAGGGGAAATAATTCCCTGAGGGTTTGTACCTTCTCAGGCTGACCCTCTAGAACCCCTCCTTGCCAGGCCGGGAGGATCCAAAAGGGTCCTGGCAGTGAGGACCTTGGCCAGAGGGAACCGCCTGCCTCCAGCTCCCCTTGGCCCCTCGCTGCCAACCTTGGGGCTGGCCTTGGCCAGCGGCCCGCAGCAGGGGAGGGAGAGTGTAGAGGGGGTGCAGCAGCATCATGCAGCCTTGGGGAAGGGAGCGAAAGGGGGGGTAGGTGCAGCCAGAGGCTTGGCTCCTTCCTCTGCATCTGTCTGTGAGCTCTTCATGCCCAAGATAAAGCCCCTCCAGCCAAACTCAGGGTCTACCCCCTCTACTTTCATTCACTAACAGTATCCTTGGTCCTCACGGGAGCCAGGACCCACCTCAGGGACACTGCTGTCCCTCTGCTGCCCTCCAGTCCTCCCGTCTCCCCAGCACTCACCATCTCCTGATGGTCCTCGATGATCTCCTGGGACCTGAGGAGCAGAGATTGGGGGGACACCCTTGACTTGCTGAGGATGGGAGGAGGAACCCTCCATAGGAAACAAGGGCCTGTTTGGGGTGCTGGACGGGGGATGAGACTGGTGGGGCTGGGGATGCAGGATGGGTGGGAGCACGGAGGAGATGAGGAGGAAGATGGGCAGCAATGGGGCAGGAGGAGAAGCAGCTGGAGAAAACATGAGGAGGATAGAGAAAGGAGAAAACCACCCCAAGAAGAAGTGGCAAAGAAGGAGCCGAAAAATTGGTGTGGCCATACCTCTGCTCCTCCGATGGCTGCTTTCTGGGCAAGATGCTGGCCACGGCGTCAACTGCCGGCAGGGACACATCATCTTGGTGGAGCTGGCAGGAGACATCAGAGCAGAGGGTAAGGATGAGGAAAGCCCTCTGAGAGCAGCAAGCTCCTTCAGCCCCTTCCCCACAGCCTGGCTTCCACCTGTTGCCATCATTCCTTTGGGGGTCAGGACCCAGCCCTCCCCTCAAAACCTCTGGCATGGCTGGCTGCGATGCCTCAGGGATCTCCCTTTGGGGCTTGGTTGCAACGTGGCGTGGCCGCAGGGCGGGCAGACCTTCTCCTGAGGCTGGGGACGCTTCAGAATGCCTGGCTTTGGCAACACCTCATGCCTGGACCTTTGAGCCATGCACCCTCCAGAGGAAACTCGGCTACGACCAAAACCAACCCCAAATGGGTGCTGTCCTCGGAGCAGGGACCTTGCGGTCCTTAGCTCCCCTTGGTGACACCAGCCACAGGGTGACACCCCGATCCCTGCCCACCCCCCGAGCACTCACAGTGGAGGAGAAGGGTCTGTAGAACAGCACTGTCCTCACTCCTGGGGGGCCCATCTTCCC